GGAGAATTGTTTTCCATCCTTTCACTTTCAGTCTATGGACTTCCTTTTGCACTAGGTGTGTTTCTTGTATACAACATATTGTTGGATTTTGCTTCTTAATCCATTCTGCCAATCTGTTTCTCTTGATTGGTGAATTGAGGCCATTAACATTGATGGTTACAATTGATATATTTTGACTTATTCTTGTCATGTTGTTGTCCATTTGTTGACTCTTTTTACTTTTTCTCCCATCTCCTTTTTTTTTTGTGCCTTGCCTATTTGATTTGGTCTGTTGGGCCTCATGTTATTGTGAATTTCGTTGTCCTTTTCTAGGATATTGTTTAGAATTCCTTGCAGTGCTGGTTTGGTGTTCATGAAATTTCTCAGGTGCTCTTTGGTGGAAGTATTTGCTGGTTTGGTGTTCATGAAATTTCTCAGGTGCTCTTTGTCGTGGAAGTATTTTATTTCCCCGAGATGGAGATTTTTAACTGCAATTCTATGCTTTTGAATAGAGGGAAAGTATGATTATGTGAGTCAATAAGAGTTGATGAAGGAGAATGGTAGGGAAGGTTTTGGTGATAGTGGTGGTAGTGGTAAAGTAAAATATTCAAGCCCCTGTCTTCTTCAGTGAAACTTTTCAGTAATAAACTTTATATTTGAAAAGTTAAAAAGCAATAGAAACATCTTAAGTATAAATATGGAATAAATAGCAGAAAACCAACTAAGAGAATTGAAAGTGGGGATTGAGACTTAGAAATTGAAAATAGAATGGGGGATTCTTTTTCTTTTATCTTACTGAGTTTATTGGTACTCTTTAGGTATACAGTACAGTTACATTCATCATTGGGATCTTGTACCTATACATGACAGGTCGTGGTTCTCATTTTTCTCCATACCCCGGCACTCCCTTTTATTAGCTTTGTAATTCTGGGTGTGGTAACTATATGCCATTAATCCCAGTACTGAAGCTGAGGCAGAACAAGTGCAAGTTTGAAGCTAGTTTGAACGTAGTACCTTCAAGGCCAGCCTGGACTGGAGGCCTTATCTCAAAAAGCCCCAAACAAAACAAGCTTTTCTTATTAAAATTTACAAAAGAAGTAATTGACTAGCATTTAATTTGATAATAAAAGATAAATGTTTATCTAGTTTGGGCAGGTATTAGGACACTATTTAGCACATATTAATTAGTAATTAATGTATTTATATTCTGTCCGTTCAAACATTTTAGTTTTCATTTTAAGTGAAAAATTTCATTAGTCAAGTCAAAATTATTATCCAGTAGATTATCTAAAAAACATTCGTATTTTACTTGAAATTATAATTGTTTTTAATGTGGTTGTCCTATTCTTATCCTTGTTATTTTTACATGCAAGTGAGGTTTTTTATTTCCATAAAACAAAACGTTTTTTATTTAAAATTTGGAGAAATATTTATTTGATATCACTCAGTGATTGTAATTAATCTTTGAGAAACTGACTTTATTTTCTCTCATTTCCTGTGTTTTCCTGTACAGCATGCATACTTTTTTTCCCCAGTACTGAGGATTGCAGTCAGGGCTTTTGCAATGAGCTACACCCCCAGCCTCCTCTTTTTTTTATTTTATTTTGAGACAGAGTCTTGCTAAGTCACTTAATTGTTCAGGCTGGGCCTAAACTTGAGATCCTCCTGTCTGAGCTTCTCAAGTGCTGAAATTACTGGTTTGCGCCACCTAGTCCAGCTCAAAATGCCTTCTCCCATAGTTTTCCCCCTTTCCTCTTCCTTCAATGAAAAAATTTCACCAGAGTATTATCCTCATTGAATTCTTCAATATTTTCTTTTATTGTTTTGTTCTAACTGGAGGACTATTATACCTTTCAACAAATTCATTTTCCTTATATTTTCTTTGTTATTAGCCTTCTTTCAGTGTTTATTCCAGACCTCATACTGGTTTTATGAGATTATTTTAAAGAACTACATATTTGTTTTGTTCTTACAAACCCAATGAATAGTAAAAAAAATTTTTTTTAAATAAAGGGAACTTTTGGGCCAGGAATTTGGCTCAGTGGATCTGTTGCCTGCTTCACAGGCGCAAGGACCTGAGTTCGATCCCCAGTACCTCCCCCCCAAAAAAGCATAT